CTTCCAGCCAATGGCGGCGACGACGAGCCACTTACAAGATCAACGTCTAGCCGGCGACAATTTTCTTTGCCACAACTCCGCTTCTGCTGCTTAACAGCCGCGCACAGCTTCTCTGCGCTAGACGACTCTACTACTTCCGCAACCGACACTTGGCTGACTTTCCTTTGAAACAACTGACGGTATGGTTGTGGGAAATACTCGTTCGCATAGTCGAGTCGTGTGGCTATCAACACACTTGTTGCTTTTGGTTCAAAGCACAACGTTACAACAACAACATACACTTACATATATATGTACTTATGTCTTAAGAGAGTCGTAGAAAGCAAGCCTTCTTATCTGGAAAATTCTTGGTTTTCTATTACAAAAAAAAAACCACTAGCCATTGGCAATAAGGAATTCAAAACGTTGCTGTTGTTGCAGTGTAACTACGTAGATACATATGTCTGCATGTAACTGTCGTGTTTAGTAGAATTGCGGTTACAAAAATATTTATATGTATACATCTTCCGGATGTGCGTCTGCCACAAATGCTAGTAGGCATAAACCAAACAGTCAATATACATATGTACATGTACTTATGTATGTATCTATGTATGTGCGTCTGTATGTTAGGCCACTCAGATTCTGACGTGAGTAATTGTTGTTGTGCGTGAAACGGAAGTTCGTTGCGGAAGTTATTAAGATTGAGTGAGTTGAAATTATTCTTCGATTTTCTGTGATTAGAAGTGATTTGTCGATTTGTGTTTCTCACGATTTGATTTTTGTCTTTTTCACGTGTTTATGTGTTTTTCAATTGAATATTTGGTAAGTTCGTGGTTATATGCAGTTTAGTGGCAAGAGAATGAAATTCTGCTCATTCTTGCCCGATTCTTTTAAATAATTTAGTTCTATTTCTTTATTCACATTATTCATTTCTACTAAATTTTGTTTTTATTTTATTTCTTAATTTTATATTATTTCGATTTTATGTCTTATTTATATTTATTTTTTTTTTTTTAATAATTTTTTTTTGTTTTATTTTACTTTGATTTATTTTATTTTATTTTATTTTATTTTATTTTATTTTATTTTATTTTATTTTATTTTATTTTATTTTATTTTATTTTATATGATTTTATTTTACTTTACTTTATTTTAATTTAATTTCAATTTGCATTGAAATGGATTTGCTATGGTACATGCCTTAAGAAGTGTTGCCTACATTTAGGATGATAAATTGGTTTATTTGAGAGGCCGGATTTATGGCAAAAGCATCTGATAAGGAATAAAATATATATATAAATATAATTGGCGCATTGTAACCACTTAAGCGATTTTCAATCCAGCTCCTCCTGATCGCAACAAATGTAGGGACCTACAGTTTATACTAAGCCGCTTCCGAACGGCTGATGGTATTTTATGGGAAGCCTAATTTTCATGTTAGAAATACACTCGGGGTGGTTGACATTCTCTGCCGAGCGGCGACCGCAGCTAGAAAATTTAGCACAACTACTTAAATACACCTAACAAATAAGAAATAAACTGATGTCGTGTTCAGAAAAGAACATTTTTCGGTCAACTAGTGCTCGGCTTTATTGAAGAATCAGGATTTTAAAACATTAATAGAAAATTTCTGTCTGTAGTTGAAATGAGAATCAAGCCGATTAAAGATAAAAGATATGGTCAGAAGGTGCGGAGAAATACGAATGATATATTTCAATAAAAAAATTTACCAAGACATTCCCCAAACTCGGAAAATAATTTTCTGCCCAAACATTTCTACCTCTTATATACGAGTATATTCCACTTATATGCCCAGCACATACATACATCTCTAGTAACCAATCAATATCCGCGCATAATCGATTATCAGTTTGAGGCGACTCAGCTAATAGTTTTCGTTACACTAACATAACAAGCTAAAAAGTGGTTTTATCGAAAACCGTAAAAATTAAGCAAATCACACAAAGTTAAGCATAAAAACAAGAAAGCAAAAAGAATTGTTGTAACTTCGACAGAACGAAAGTGGTACTGAAGGTTAACGCTGCAACTTCCCATCTTACATACCTCACAGCCGTACCACCCGACTGGAAGAGAATATACAAACACGTGTAGTTTCTGCGGGTCAAACATCAGTTACGAAATCGGCAAGTGTTGCCAAGGGTTTGATTTGCATGGCGCTCTCATAAGATAGGTTGCTATGGGTGGGAGGGGTGTAAGATGGGTCGTTGCAGCATAAGAGCCGTTAAGCTTTGGTTTCGGTCTTAAGGAAACAACAGAGTACCAAAAAAAAATTTTCTCTCGTTTCACGAATGACAATTACCAGAGTAAATAAAAAATACCATAAAGACCCATATAACAAATGGGGAAATAAAAGCTGGTAAAATGGAAAAGCGTTGAAGCAAAAAATAAGCAAACCAACAGAACAGGAACTTCACAACAACAACGAAAACAGTATATACAGTAACCTTACAAACAATACAATACACGAAATCAAAAGAAAAAGCTACCAAACATCGACAGATCGTAACGGAGCAGAGTGCGAGCTGTGCCGAACGGTTGGTGGGGCGCAGATTTAGTGTGAACGTTATAAAAATGGTTGTGAATACTCGCTGATCTGCTGCTCACTCGTTGAACGAGCGTATAAACGACGAGCGGGAAGGAGAGGCAGTGCGTGATGGAGAAGAAAAAGCGTCGAGAAGAATGTGTTTACAGCAATCGATTGTATGAATGAACGAATATTTTTATGAATGAAAATACACTCGATTCGATATGTGTGTGTGAGTTGTTGTGCGTGTGCAGTGGACGATGAAATCTTATGAATGAATTGAAATGTGTACGCCGAGAGGCGTGCGGAGTGGGTGAGTGGAACATGCTGCTATGTCAGTGGTATAATATATCTTCTTCGTACGCATTGTTAAGGAATGTGAAGCGCGCTTACAACAACAACAATGCGTACATACTATAAAATCAACAAAATGAATGGATATTAATAAAAAAAAACGACAATAAACAAGCATAAAACCAAAAACAAAAAAATATAAAGAAAAAAATGTTGCTAAAAAAAAGCAGACAAACTTATAAACAACCAAAGATGGGCCAAGACTACATGTTGAAGACGGTCTGAACGTACAAACAGCCAGACGAGCGGACGGACAGATAGACTGATGTGGTAAATAAATGATTGAGTGAAGTGAATGGATGAATGAACATTACGCTGTTGTTTAGACAAGCCTACAAAACCATTGATGGCATATAAAAGCCAAATGCATACGAGATATGGACCGACAACTTTGGCTTTTTAATTTGTATGATATTTTGAAATGTACCAACATACGTATGTACATATACATATGCGCGTGTGTGTGTAACCATTTTCTTCGCCTATACAGCTACAATAACACATACATACTTAAGTACACAAATGCCTATGTATGGCCGGCAGGCATCCACAGCTGCTGCCTGCGCTTGATGTGTAGCAATTGCTGTTGTTGGCATGTTGTTGCTCCATTCACAAATATTGTTTGCTTGTGGTTGTTGTGCTTGCTAAAATTTGTACTACGTTGTTTTCTCGATGATTTCATTCATTAAAGCTATTTTTGAGATATTTTGTAAGGCACAAAAGGCAACAAAACATTGTACGTCAGCGATATAAAAATATCGGTGGGCAATAAAAACGGGTCGGGAGCATTAAATAGCTAAGAGAAAATTGAATAAAACAAGATTCAAAATATGATAAAACAAAATAAAAATATTAAACCGAAATAGAAATATTTTTAAAATACATAAAAAATAAAAGAAATTAAATAAATTAAAAGCAGAAGTTCAATGAAACTGAAAACTAAAGTTTTAATCAAGGACATAAAATACAATAAAATTAAACTGAAAAAAAAAATATTACAATAACGTAAAATGAAAGAATAATAAGGTTAAGGAAGTAAAAATGGTGCCACGTAAATAACAGAATAAATTAATAAAATAAATAAAAAATAAATTAATATGAAATAAGACAAAGAATAAATGCCAAAATAAAATATATTAAAAAAAAAAACTTTTTGAAGAAAAAGAAAAGCGAAGAAACCAAAATAAAAAACGAAACGCAATTTAAAAAAAAGGTCGAACTAAGTGAAATAAAAATATAATTAAATAAAAAAATGAAATGCACAAAAACAACAAGAGCACAGACAGAATAAAAATTCTGCTAATTAATAAATATAATATTATACAATACCAAACTCATTCCCAAGATATAAATTTATAAAAAAAAAAAAAATTAATACCATATTTATGTACATATGTATATATGTATCTGCGTACACGACCGAGAAATAATTTTCCACATTTACAAAAATAGTTCACACAATTTATGATTCCATTGAACGTGAAAACACAAGCACATCTGTTCCATTTGACATTCATACATTTAAATGATCTTAAATTTATTTTAAAATAGCCCGGCGATCATTCATCTATGTATGTATGTTCTCGTACATATGTACATATGTGTATTGTGCCTTAAGTTTGACGTGAGATGAATTTTACTAATTTAACTGTGGTGGTAGGTGTAAGTGGCTGCATATGAATTAATGCAGTTGGAATTAGTGGCGCAAAAATTTATAAATTTCTATGATTTTCAATAGAGAAAAGTTTGAAATTAATTTATATTAGCGCAAACGACATTTGAAATAATATATAAAATGTTAAATGTGGGTTTCTGTTGAAGCATATTTGGCTTTTTAATGAGTGCCAACGCTATTTGCTGAGAGGAAATCGTTTTAGATAGCTAAAAATGGTTAAAACTAAGCTAAAAATAAACGAATTGCCGACGTTGCTCGGCGTGGGGACAGCAGCTTGTTTTAAATTGTATAATTGCATTATGCATAGTTAATTATTGAGATAATATTTTATATACACGTATATTATAGTCTTTTGTTATAATACATTAAAATATAAAAATAATTGCGCATTTCGTTAGAGAGACTAATTTGTTCGCTTCTTTCACTTTGCTCTCTTTGCAACAGGACTCCGAGGACGATTTGCCGATTTGTGCGCCGAACGCGGTATGTTCAAAAATCGATTTGTACGAAACACCATGGATCGAGCGTCAGTGCCGTTGTCCCGAATTAAATCGCCAGCCACACATTATACTACATCATCACACGCATCACAGCGCCAGTGGCTCAGGTGAGCTCACATCACACGACAAATATCGCAGCTACTATGAAAAGGAGCGACTTTTGCAATATAAACGTTTACTCGTTGGTGATTACAATGATAAGAAATTCGAACAAATGCATTTGAAAAAGCTTATGCAGCGTTTGGGTGCCGTGTATGAAGAGGATCTACATCTGCAGCCGAGCGACTATGCCTCCCCATCATCTGGCTCATCAAATAGCGAGGACAATGATGCGCTGCCTAATTCACAGGAGGACGAGTTGTTGAGCGAGCTGAGCGATAATGAATTTCCACACACACCTTCCAGACGCAATTACTACAGCGTAGAGTCGAGTACGGCGCATATGCGGCACTCGGGTCATAATGGGCATCGTGCGAAGGAGCCGATTAGCTTTATTGGTGGTTGTCCGAGTGCTTTGGGCGTCGAGGATGGCTATACAATTGCCGATAAGACGCGTCACTATAAGATGTGTCAGCCGATACATAAATTACCCGTTTGCAAGTGAGTAGTGGAGAGGAATATTGGAAAAAAATTTCATTGTTTTTTATACGTGTATAATTTGTTCTTTACAGACATTTCCGTGATTACACATGGACGCTGACCACTTCAGCGGAGCTAAATGTGACGGAGCAAATCGTACACTGTCGTTGCCCGAAGAATTCGGTGACTTATCTGACGAAGCGAGAGCCGACTACAGATGGGGCGAGTGGCTACACTTATCTCTTTGCTTGTTCACCAATTACTGTGAGTAGAGATGTTTTTAAATTATATTAAATACTTTTTTTTTAATTAATTTATTTTTTAAACTTTATTATCTTCTACTTTTTCTTATTTATTTATTTTTTCATATTCATTCATACATTTCATATTCTTTTAATTTATTATTATTATTTTCATATTCTTATAATTTACTTTCTTTTACATTTTTTTACCATTTTTTAATTTTTGTATTTTTATATTCCTCTATTTTATTTAATTATAATATGTATTTTACTTTATTTTTTATTTCATTTTTTTCTTACTTTCCCTATTTTATTTTGATTTATATTAAATTTTTTACTTCGCTTTTGCTTCAGTTTCTCTTTTAATTGTTTTTATTTATCATTTTATATTTATTTATTTTATTTCCTTATTTACTTGATTTAATCTTGTATTTTATATTTTATTTTCTTGTATTAAATTTCATAGTGTTTTATTTTATTTCACTATTCTTTAATACTAGTTTAGCTCTTAATAAATTTTTACTTTAGTTTAATTTAACCGCAATCCTCAATTTTTTCTCTTTCAGCGCATACGCTGCCAACGCAAACAACCATGCAAACTCTTCACGGTACGCAAGCGTCAGGAATTCCTCGATGAAGTCAACATCAACGCGCTCTGCCAATGCCCGAAGGGTCATCGCTGCCCTAGCCATCATACGCAATCGGGAGTTATACCCGGCGAGAGCTTTTTGGAGGATAATATACAAACTTATTCGGGTTATTGTATGGCCAACGATTGATCTACCACTTGGGCGGTGACCGTGGACAAAAGACGAAATCAGAGCAAGAAAAAATTAAGTAAAAATCACAAAAACCAAAAGCAAAAACTGGCCAAGCCGCCGCAGCAGGGCCAGTTGAAAACCGGGCAGCTGACCACATTCCAACTACAGCTAAATGTGGATATAACGGTTAAAGCAACAACTATTGTACAAAGATATTTAGAATGTAAAAGTGAACGAAGAAAAAGAAAACAAGTATGAACAATAAAAAATATAAATATATAATAAATTAAAATAATATAAAAAATTGAAGAAAATTCAAAATTTTAGTCAAAAGAATGTATAACAAAAACAAATAAGCAAATAGTTGACTGAGCCAATTGAGTCTCGTCTTTTTCTGAATAATTTTAATTAATTGTAAGAAATGAGGTTTATAAGAAGAGAAAAAGAAACTTAATTATTAGCCTCTTTAACACATCTTAGTTATAAAATACCTTAATTATAACCATAATTATTAACATTTACACAAATAAGTTATTTTACTGGTAAGCTGAGCGCAGCTTTGAAATGTAAATGACGAGTCGATTGTAATTAAACAATAATTTTATATTATATTAAACCCAAAACTTGTAGACTAGAGTGTATAATAAGTTTGCTAAGAAGTTGGAGTTTTTTTGTAAATTGTAAATAAACTAAAATATCGTTAAAATAAATTATTAAAAATCAAATGTATAATGAGAAAAACAATTAAAACAAAAATTAAAAAAAAACTGGAAAAATATACCGTATTTATTGTATTTCAAATATTAATGAAAACTATTTTATTTAGTTAACCCAGAGTGCCAACTACAAGGTGCAGTGTTAATTACTACAATTAATTTTAGAAAATCAGGTACGCAGTAATTTTATAGCCGAAAACTTCCTAAGAGAGGAGAAACATATAAAGACAAGCTGATTTGTACCTGAAAGAAGTAAAGCTAAAATCATACTGGGAATGCAAGCAAATACAACCCTGAACTACACTGTAGTAAAACAAAGTATCAGAGCAAGTTTTAAATAAATAAAAAATAAAAAAATTAAATAAAGAAATATAAATTAAAATAAAAACAAAGAAAATTAATAAAAGTTAAATAATATAAACTTAAATTAAAAATAAAACATATAAAAACAAAATAAAACAGCAAAACAAATATAAATTTACTAATTTAGTATAAAAAACAAAAAACCAAAATTAATTTAAATATATAAAAGGATAAAGGTAAATAAAAATAAAATAAAATTATGTGAAATATAAAATAGTAAATTATTTTAATCAATAAAAAACTTAAATAAAACAAATACATTATAAAAAATAAAGCATAAATTAACGAAATCAAATTACATAAAATAAAAAATAATAAAATAAAAACAAAGAAAAAAATTAAACTAAACTAAAATAAAATTAAATAAAACAATATAAAACAAAAAAATACCTTAAATAAACAAACATAAAAATAAAGTAATTTTAATCAATAAAAAAGATATAAATAATACTAAAGGAAATAAAAATAAAATAACTAAAATGAATCAAATAAAAAAAAATATAAAAAAAACAAATAAAATAAAACAAAAATAAGACAAAATAACGAAATTAAATTAAATTACAGAAAATAAAACAAACAAATAAAAAAGCAAAATAAATTTAAATAAAAAGAAAAGGAAGAAAAAAGCATTTGCATTAAGTTTTTCATTTCTTTTCTATTTATTTAAATACATTTTGTTTTTATTATCTTTATTTTATTTTATGTAATTTAATTTAATTTATTTCGTTATTTTTATATTATAATCCAATAAAAATAAAATAAGTTCAAGTTAAAAAAAAAAAACAAAATACCATGAAAAAATAAATTATATAAAATTAAAAAAATTATAATTAAAAAATGTAAATAAAACAGAAAATAATTTAAATACAAATTAATGAAAAGCAAAAAAAATACCGTAAATTACATATATTATACAAAATAAAATACAAAATTAAATAAAAAAATATCCGTGCAATTTCTTACATTTTTCCAAAGCATTTATTTGGGCTCAAAAATATATAATATCAAAGGTAAACAAAAAACAAAAACAACAATGCATCCACTCTGCCCCTATCGATGTTTTTGCTAACAATATCAATTAGTTATTTATTTTACTAGCTTTTATAAAATAAAAAATACTTAGATACGAAAATTACTTAATGAAATTAAGTACACACAATTTGTTTGCCCCGCTTGTTTTTATTATTTTTTATTTAATTAATTTTTTTTTTATTTAAGTTTGGAGCTCAATAATATTTGAGTTAAAACAAAAATAAAAACTAGAAAATAAAATAAAAATCAAAAGAATTCAACATGCTATACTTAGCCACAGCTCTACAAAATAGCTATACAAAAAATAAAAATTAAATAATTAAAATTGGCACCAAAATTAGTTAATATTTAAAGATTAAATTACATTTAATTAAGTTTAATTGATAATAACCGCTATACATATGAAATTAATAAATAATTATGCTATTATTTAATATACCCAACTTTAATTAATATTTATATAACGGTGTGATTGAGTTTTCCTGCTAAAAATTAGCGTATACGTGTATATACATTGTGTTTGCTTTTTGTATAAAGACCTATTCGTATAATGATTTTATACATATTTTATACATATTTCCGTATATTCAATGATAAATAACTTATAGCGCTCTTAAACTTTTTATGTTTTAAAATTAAATTGGAATAAAATAAAAATATATAAGAGAAGAAAAAATTGTGTGTTTTAATCAACAAAAAAAAAACGAAGAAATTAGTTAAATAAAAAAATTTCAATTCATTTTTAGAGCTTTATCCAAAAATTTTTTAGAACCGGCATCCCTATTTGTGCAGAGATCTTAAAGTACTATTTACTATTATTATTATATATATATATATTATAGATTCTCTGATGTACTTTCAAGCTTCAAGTTCACTGTTACAGCGCCACTGGCGTACAAGTATAAAGACTCTATGTTTACGCCTATAAGTATACAACAATGAAGCCAAAATGATATCGATCAACGGTTCAAGCCCGTTCTCAACAACCTATCGAAGCTATAAACCGCTACACTGGTGACGAATTTGAAATAATAGTACATACACGATTTCCAACGCATTTGTTGGATAAAAAAGGTGGAAAAATAAAATAAAGTAAATAAAAATTAGTAATTAGTAATTTTTTTTAATTAAATTTTTCAAAATGTGTTCAAGCCATAGTACATACCTGCGACGAAAAAAATTATAAAATTATTTTTAATAGTAAAATATATATTTTTTTCTTTCAGTAAAACTATACTTCATATACTTTTATATAGTTAACTACTTACTATGATAAGAGGTATGGCATATTATAGCGAAAATTATGAACGCAATTTTAGTCTTTACTAACTTTACGACCATAACTCACAGCGTTAACTCCTTCGATTATCTTTCTTAAAGTTATTTATTTAAAAACACGTGGGTTCTAGGCTTAATATTTGGGTCAGTAGTTAAGTTAATGACTATACTTTGAGTAGAGTAGATGATAATTAATTAACAAGAAAACAGTCGTTAGCGAACACTCCCCGTTATTTATCATCCGAAAGTGAAAGCATATGAAATATTACGCACTTCAACAAATACTTGAACGGTTGAGTTCTTAGTATAAATCACTGAATAATTCGTAAAATCATAATAATTTTAGAGTTGCAAAGGCCGAATTGTGTTTGAAGATATTTTCATTAAGAAAATATGATTTATATTAATTGTTGGTACTTAGCAGATACATTTGTACGTTCTAAATATATATGTAAATGTACATATTTTGATGATATTTTGATATGCCCACATAACTTCTCATAAATTTTATTTTATTTTAATTCATTTTATATTACTTGTTTTGTTTTACTTAATTTATGTTATTTTATTTTATTTCATTTATCATTTAATTTACTTTTTTGTAATTAATTTTTATATTTTTAAATTTGCTTTATTTTGATTCATTTCATTTTCTTTTCTATTTTATATTTATGAATTTTATTTCTCTTTTTTTTAATTATTTATCATTATTTTATTTGGTTTTTATAGTCATATTTGTCATTCCTAAAAATACATAAATAAAGAGGAATTACAGCGGTTTTATTTATTTTTTATTTTATTTTATGATATTTTTTCATTACTTTATTTTATTCTTTATTTTATTCTTTATTTTATTCTATATTTAAAATTTAATTATAATTTTTTTTATTATTTTACTTTTTTTAAATTAATTTATTTTATTTTCTTTTTGATTATTTTATTAATTTTTTTATTTTAATTTATTTTTTTCTTTTTCTCTTATTTTATTTTAATGAATTTAATTCATTTAATTCAATTTTTTATTTATCTTTTATTTTATTTCAATTGATTTTATTTCTTCTTTGACAATTTACCAAGGGATAATTCAATTAATAAATCAAATATTTTTTTAATTATATTTTCCAAATGAACATGAAAAATGTCCAACAATTAAGCATTGAAAATGCGTGTGTGCGTGTGTGCCTGTGTTAGTGTGTATGATATCATAATAATAATAGCCCGAGTAATAAACACGAAATAAATGCGTTATAAACAATAATGCTCTTACGTATCAGCACATTGTGCGCACGGCAATAATTGGGGGGAGACCACGCCACACTCAGTCTGAGTCAGCGACCCAGCCAGTTAAACGCTTGGCTAACTGCGAACGCTTGGATATGGTTAATTTTTCCCAACAAAGAGGTATGCCACACAGAGTGAATGGGTAAGGGAAGCACACACATCAGAAATGAATCTGCGTTGCATTTAACGGCTGGCAAGTTGGCGGCCAACAATTGCTTGCTGATTGCTATTTTGTGGTCTAATCTAACACCAGAGATCTACTAATAACACAATTAAGGCAGCATGGCAGCTACTAATAGGCCTAAGTTGTACAAATGTGGGAGAAAGAGAGAGAGGGGAAGGTAGAGAATGGAAGACACAAACAGAAGAGTGCAGCCGATCTCGACTTAATAGCTGCATTCGTTGGCATTTCTTCCATTGCAATTATTCTTAAGCTTTTATAACATAATTTATTTCTGTATTGTTGTTGTTTCTGTTGTAACATATTGTTTGTTGAAGGGAGATTTGTAAGAAATGGAGCCTCAGCTGTGTTGTTGCCGTCGAGGTCGTCATGCTGTTTGCTGTGGTA